GTTTGTTGCATGGTTCTTCCCATTGCAAAGCCACTAAGAAATCCCAGGGACATTGTGACTGCGATTTTGGTTCATGTTTCAGCAGGAAACTTGCAGACCTTCTTGGATCATTAAATCTCTTTGTTTGGTCCATGTTTTTGTACCTACTTGCCATCTTGTAATGTGGCGTGAAAGTGGTGGTGAAAAGTGTGAGGTTGAGAGCCGTGCATGTACACAAGAGTACCATCTGCAATCCACCCAGGGCTGGCCAGTGCAGAAGGGGCACAGGGCCATGGTGCCACCCCAGCCACTGTAGGAGTGTGAGCCCCAAGGTTCTGGGAGCCCCAAGGAGTGTTGGGGGAAGGTGCCCTCTCTTCAGCTTTCACTCCAGCAAAGAAGCAGACAGAATCTGGTCCTGGCCTCTGCAAACCTTTGCTGACAATGCAGCATCCTGTGCAAAACAGGGAACCTTGGTGGTAAGAAATCTGCAGGTCCTTATAGACATCTGTGCATGCTCTTTTGGGCCCCATTTCTTCTTAAGGAAGCTGTTCCCAAACAGTAATCTTTGGTCCATAGGCGCCAACTTTCCCTGGCGCCGGTGGGTACTCGTGCCCTCCCCGCCCCCGCCCCGACTCCACCCTTTCCCCGCCCCCATTCCAACCCCTTCCCCAAATCCCCGCCCCGGCCCCGCCTCTTCCCCAAGTGCGCCGCGTTCCCCCTTCTCCCGCCTCCCTCCCAGCCGCGCAAAACAGCTGTTTTGCAGCGCAAGCGCTGGGAGCTAGGGGGGAAAAGCGGGCACGCGGCGCGCTCAGGGGAGGAGGCGGAGGTGAGTTGGGCGGGGGGGCGGGGAGCTGCCGGTGGGTGCAGAGCACCCACCAATTTTTCCCTGTGGGTGCTCCAGCCCCGGAGCACGCACGGAGTTGGCGCCTATGCTTTGGTCCACCGGTGGTCAGCAGGAAGTTTCCAGGTGTCCTTGCAGAGTGGGGCAGGCAGGTCACATGGTGCTGACTCACTTCTTTGCTTCAATCACCAAATTGTATTAAAAGAAGCTAATTTCCTAAAGTAGCTTTTCTGTGTAAACTACTGGTGTCATTGCCCCAGGGAGGTCAGGTGAGCAGGAAGGGGAGGCCATCATCATCTTCATCACGGCCAATCCTGAAGGGACAGAGCCGCCTTGCGGATGGATGAAGGGGAGGTGAGTCTGTTCTCCTGAAAACGGATGGGGAGATGGGTCTGGGTGAAGGACAAATGAGCGGAGAGGTGGATCTGCATGACTGTGAGAAGTGTTCTCAAGGTAATGTCTGTCTTAACATGTGGCCCACACGATGGAGAATTTTGAGTCTGTCTCTCCAGAGACTCTGCTGGAAAAAACCTCTTGCTGTGTCATTATTTAAAGAGGTTAAATGGGATTAACTACAGGCCAGTTACTCTGACATCAATCCTGAGCAAGATCAGGGAACAGCTGATATGGGACGCAGTCAGGAAAGAATTAAGGGATGGTAACATAAGTGATGTCCACCAGCATGGTTTTATGGAAAATACATCTCGCCAAACTAACTTATATATTTTTTATGAGATTACAAGTTTGGTTGATAAAGGTAACTGTGTTGACATAATATAAATAAACTCTGTCTACACTGCAGCTGGAAGTGGGCTTCCCAGTGCGGATAGAAAGACATGCTCTGGCTGAGCTAGCAGTGTGGCTGCTAGCCATCTGAGAACAAACCTGCCCGATCCCCTCTCTGTGTACTTGGATGGCTAGCCTGAGCCGCTGTCCGTGCTTGAGCACAGCTAGTGTGTCTGTGTATCCACGCTGGGAAGCACTGCTGTGTAGACATACCTGACCCCCCATTGACTCCGTACCACGCAACGTTCTTGTTAAGCAATATAACACATATCAAATGGATTGAAAACGAGCTGACGGATATATCTCCAAAAGGAACTGTACCTGGGGAATCAGCATTGTGTTTCTAGTGGAATGCTCCTACAATCTATTCTTAGCCCAATGCTATTCAATACCTTCATCAATTATCTGCAAGAAAATACAATACCACTGCTGGTCACGTTGGCAGATGACACACAGATTCGTGGCCTGGTAAACAATGATGGGGACAGGAGTGTTATACAAACCAACCTAGATTGCTTGGGCTCATTCGAACATTGTGTATTTCAACACAGCCACACAGAAGGTCATCCATCAGGAACAAAGAATGTAGGTCATACTTATAGAATGGGGGACTGTAGCAGAGGAAGGTCTGACATGATCCAGTGGCTGGAAGCTGAAACTAGACAAATTCAGACTGGAAATAAGGTGTAATTAGCCACTGGGACAATGTACCAGGGTTGTGGCCATTTTAAAATCCAGATTGGGTGGTTTTCTAAAAGCTCTGGACTAGGAGTTATTTTGGGGAAGTTCTCTGTGTTCTACAGGAGGGCAGACCAGATGACCACAATGGTCCTGTCTGGCCTTGGAATGACACGGAAGAGGGCTGAGGGGTTAAGATGGAAACCAAGAGACCATGAGCTCCCAGTGTGATTCTGTGCTCAGAGGAACAGCACAATTTTGGGCTGTGTTGCCAGCACACAGAGCATTGACAAGACCATTACTGAGACAGTGTGTCCAATTACTTCAAAAAGCATGTTTCAAAGAAGTCCCAGAAAAGAGCTACAGGAATGATTCAAGGTCTGGGAAACCTGCCTTAGACCCTTCCTCTCTCACAATCTTCTGCAGCCACAGGTGGATCTTCAGCTGCAGCTGAATTCTCAGAAGTTTTTTCCAATCCCTGCCTGTGCTTTTGCTCAGCCTGGCACCCTCCCCTCTGCCCGAAAGTCAGCCTAGGACCCAGAGCACGGCTGCTTCTCTCCCACCCCTTTCTGCCTCAACACCTTCCTGAGAGACAACAGGTGTCTCCCCTGCTCCTGGGCTACCCCTCTCGCACTACGGTCACTGTGATGTCATCTCCTTCTGCAATGCCGTTCCTCTGGCTCTGGCTCTCAGCCCACACCCTGCTTCCTCTGCAGGAGTTTCCTCCATCCCCTCTAGGGCTGTTCTCCCATCTGGGATGCTAAAGAAGCTACTGTGCCTGAAGTCAGCCAGCGCCATCTGCTTGCCCTCAGAGTCTCCCTGGAGAAGGCTGGCTCTCCTTGTGCCATTCAAACCACAGCAGTTTCATGGCTTTGTCTGCCCCTGCCTGGCTGCTGTGTGAGCACCGTACCGTGCTGCCCAGCACCTGATATTATCACGTAAAGGAGCGTCAGTGAACTATCGATACAAAGGCGACAGGCGGGCTCAGTCTAGGGAAGCAATCCAGCTCCCAGTCCCGCCCTCCGAGCTGCACCATTCAGTGTCCCTTGGCGTACAGCTGGGAGCAGATAATGACTCCAAGGCCAAAGCAACCCATGGCTGGCGGTGCTTTGTCAATGCTGCTGAGGCAAGAATGAAGGCGAGCAAGTAGCCGCCGTGGTCGCTGGGAAGGGATTGCTCAGCCCCTGCAGGAGGCGGCAAATAGCCCGTCACACATTCAATCCTCCTCTTAGGCTCCCATGAAAGCGGAGAACAAGCCCCAGGTGGAGACTGAGCCTGGAGCCTCTCCTCGCAAAGGCAGACACGCATCCAACCGGCGTTCTTGTCTCCATTGCTGCCCTTGAGCCAACCTCTCCCCTCCCCCATCTCTCCTCTCCCTGCCGCAGAGTACCCTCCTTTTCCTGTCTTCCCCCCTTTCCCCCTCTTCCCAGCTCCCTGTTGTATCTTTGTATCTACAGCTTCTGTTACCAACTGCTAATGAGGTACATCAAGGCTGCCAGACTAGGCTGAGTGTAAGCAAAAGAATTCAGAGCCTCTAATTACAGAGGAATTAGCGAGCAGGCAGTTACTGTTTAGCGCTAATGAATGGCTACATTAAGAGAGGCAACACACAGCCTGGGAAGTGTGAGCCCCGATAATAAGGGAGTGTCAAACAAGGGAAGCACAAGAGGAGGATCCAAGGCTCTGAAAGGAGGCAACTAAAAAAACTCAATTCGCAATTTCATCCGCCTCAGCTGCTTGTTCTGCAGAGGTGGAAATGTTCACAGTTGGGGCATTAATGTAGCGATTGCAGCGCTTAATTGCAAGGTGTGAAATCAGAGCGTTAAACAGCTTCTAAACACTGGAGGAGCCCCTCTGAGGGAAAGGGTTAGATCTCTCCCAACTAGAACAGAAATAGACACATCGCCCACATGTCCTACACTCCCCCCCAAAGTCCTACCCAGAAAGACCCCTGGCACAGCCAAGTCGTGCCCACGCTATTTCTCTCCCAGCACACAGACACACTGTTCACACTCAGGCCCGCTCACACGCACAGCTCAGCCAGGCACACCAGCACACAGATCTGGATGCTCACGCACGCTGACCCGGTACCGGCCCACCAGTTGAGTTATGAGCTCAAGCCACAGTCCAACAGACCCAAACCAAAAGCCCCTGAGATCCTGGAGACTCCTGGACTCTGGCCCGAGGGAGCAGAATGGAACTGCCCTTGGAGTGGTGCTTCTTATTAGCAATTGTCTGCGGCAATGATCCCCTGCGACATCATCTTGCGAGAGCTGCTGAGTGCGGACCTGGCGCTCCCTGTGCACCCCACCCCTCCCACCAGCCCCTCCACCTTAGCGCTCCAGCTCCGGCTACCGGAGCATTGGCAGCACTTGCAGAGAGGCCAGACCAGAGAGAGCGGCAATGCAAGCTCCCCACAACGCCCTGCCAGGTGACCGCTGCAGCCCATTGTTTGGATTACTGTAGTGCCTCGGAGCCCAGGGACAGACAGGCACCCACTGTGCTAGGCCCTGTACAAACACACACAAAAAGAGTCTCTTTGCTAGGACAAGGGATGTTTTCCCTGTGCCCGGGGAAATGGGCTGGTCACTGACCATCCCTCGGGTGGGACGGGCTTTTGGTCACCACCAATGTGACCAGGAAGCGAGAGGCTCCTGACTCCATTCCCATCCCTGAGCCTCAGCCTGGCTCAACAACAGAGAGCGCAATTCCTTACCGGCCTGGTTGGTGGTGATATTGACTGAGGCAAACTGTGGGGAGAAGGGGCTCTGGTCGGTGACCCCGTTCACGGCCTGGATCTCAAAGGTGTACTGGGTGTGGGCCAGCAGGTCGCTGATGTAGATGCGGGGCTCTGTCAGGCCCAGCTGGCGTGGGGAGAACTGCACGTTGTCCCCACAGCGGGTGCAGGCGCCGCGCCCCGAGCCGCAGCTCTTGCAGATGATATTGTACACCAGGTCCTCGCGGCCCCCGGAGTCCCGGGGTGGGGTCCACTCCAGCATCAGCGACGTCTCGTTCACACTGGAGATCACGGCCTGGGGGGCGGATGGGATGGCTGTGCGGGAGAGGGAAAGAGAGAGAGAGTGAGAGTCCGTGACCCCCGTCACCATGGGGCAGGGCGCACACAGGCTCATCAGCACGTTTCTGATGAGCCCAGACTGAGAAGGGAGATGGAAGCTGATACCTGCTGGCCTGGCCGCTTCAGGAACATCCATGGACTACCAGCTCCACCCCCTCCACAGAGTGGTGTGCAGTTCCCACCCCCACCGCCCCTTCTGGACGAACACCAGCCCGCCTACTGAACGGTTAGCGAGTCCCCAGACTGGGTTCAAGTCATCTCTGTGAACCTCCCCATTCCTCCTGCTGATAACCCAGGGGAGGCTGTGCTGCGGTGCCCGGTCGGTGCACGCCCTTAGCTCAGCGCCCCCTAGGTGCTAGGAATGTAGGAGATAGCAGGTCTTGACAGGGAAGTAGAGGAGGACAGCACTCCCAGCAGTATTTCATTGTAACTCGAGTCTGCATGGTACAGATCTGGGCACCTTTAACATAATTACTGGTCGTATGTATATCACTGCCCATTAGATCACCACTCACCTAAGGACCAGCACTGAGTCTTTTTCAAAAGCCTTTTTGCTCCCCCTTGGACATGCATTTGGAAGGGGATTGTTCTGCTATTTGCCATAAGCCACAGTTTCCAAGCCCAGGTGGCTACAGTCAGGCCCTACCATCTAGATTCAGCCCCCGGAGGGAAGTTATTTCAGTGCCTAACCTGGCATGCAGGGACCTGTGTTTCTGCACCCTCAGCCTATGCCAGATGCACACTGGGAGATGCCCAGCTCACCCTGGGCACCCAGCAATGCTGGGAAGGGAATGCCACGTGTGGGCACGACAGCTCACAGGAGGTTAGTTCAGTGCTCTCGGGGGCTCTGAGGACACCAGCCTTTTAGCCAGTGCCTGACAGATACCTGCTCCAAATGAGATGGGTTTCATCTATGGGGCCTTACTCACTCTGGATGAAATCAGGAGCAACCCTAGAGAAGTCCACGAAGTGACCCTGGTGTAAAACCAGCCTGCACAAGAAGACAAGCAGGCCCACAGCTCCAGCACTCAAGGGCCCCCCTCCAAGGGTGTGGGCAAGTGAGAAGGAGGGGAGGCTTTAAATCCCCAAAGGCCACTCTGTTAGCACCCCCGCCCTCCCTGCAGCTCAGTCACTCGCAGGGGGCCTTGATTTAAATCAGCGAGCAGGAAACCTTAATTTAAATCTCCGATTTTCATCTGGTTTTGCAGTTCTACTATTTAGTTATTTTCCTTGAAATGGTTCTCTCTCATTGGTTGACATAACTATGAAAACTTGCTGATTTGCAAGCAAAGACAGCCTATATACTAACGGTGGTGCTTCTTTTTGCTAACCAGGATGATACGCTGCACTAACCACATTTATTTACACAACAATCGCTTCTCATATATTGCTTCAGATTCTTATGACATTTGTTAATAAGCTAGAAAATGGTGAATGACACATTTCTTATTTACTACATGCTAATTGTTTACTCGGAGTTGTGTCAAGCTGCATTTCATTGGAAACTGGAATTCAATTAAAAATTGTTTATATTAGTGAAGTAAAACGACCTTAACTCTGCTCGATCCATTAAAAAAGGAAGGTTATCAAAGTGACAATTAAAACTTTGACCCCGCATGGCCAGTGCCTCCTAAGGATCAGGGTGAAAGCAGCTCTGTGCATTTGCTGTTTGCCCTCCGGGTATGGGCTTGTTGGGTGTTAACCTCTTAAGAGAATCCTCGTTAGGCTAATTGGAGGCAACATCAGCCAGGGAAGAGGCTGTGTGTTGTGCTCCCAAAAATGTAAATAAAAAGTGGGGAAGAAGGACATTTTCTCCCAGTAATAGAAGGAAAGATGAGAAAGCGTGAAGACAACTAGCGAATCCATCCTAGCAGGAAACGCTATGCACCTGCTGGAGTGGGGACAGGGCAGGACCCTAACATTTCATGGGATAAGAGGGACTGGGAAACTCCAGGAGCAGCTCGTGAAAAAAAACGTTCAGCACAATTCACCCTCACCACGTGCACACCCCTGAGCTGGGGGGCTGCCTGGCCCTCTGCAGCCTCGAGTGGAGACGCTGACTGCAGTGATTAGAGCAGGGGACAGGACAATTGGGTAAGAGCAGGCAGTCACTGGCTCCGATTCCCCCAGTGCAGGAAGAGATGATGGCACTGGCCTCCTTTAGGAAGCATGTTCAGCTCCAGGCAGGCAGGAGACGTGCACTGCGCTAATGGGATTTGCTGGACTGCGTTTTTTTGCATTGAGTCATTTAAACTGAGGAGCTTTCACTAAAGAGTTTCTAATGTGGCTCCTTCATAGACCCCCTCATCAGGAACCCAAAACC